CATATTTCCAGCCATCCTTTCTTGGACTATCAAGAGGAGTGAATCGGCCATCATTGCAGAAGCTCAACCTCAGTAAGCATCACAATCGGTACAGCATAAGGGTTGAGTGCCGCAGTGCACTATATCACAGGAAGATCTAGATAGTTTACCATCTTGACGCTTCCAGTAGGTCCTTATCGCCTGCACACATTCAGAGTGTCGGATAAAGAGCGGTCAACGGAGCAGTAAGAACATGGTACCAAAAACCAGAAGGGGAAAAGGGAGGAGGAGGAGGAGAAGAGGAAGAGGAAGAGGGAGGTTCACCCAAGCTCTCAAAGAAGGAGGAAGAGTAGGAGGAGTAGGAGGAGTGGAAGGGAAAGGGGGAGAGCAAGGGGGGGGGGGGAGGGCGGGACGGGTCAGTTGATGGCATAATAGGCTGACATTGCGGTCAGGACTCGCTGCAACAAGGATGTTTGTCACAAGCTCAAACGTTTGCGATCAAGAAGAAGCTGGCGATGGAGAGAGCAGCGAAGGTGAGAAGATGTTCGATGACGCTTGCCGTTGCTCAAACATGTTCTTGCAGATTCGTCTGACAAGATCGCTAGAGAGCAAGAGTTGATCATTATGAGTGATGTTGTTGAAGACACAAGTTGAACGACAACTCACGAAGAGTGTCGATGACAATGTCTTATTGATTTCCATTCCTTGTATTACAAACACGTTCAGTCGCGCTGGTTTCGATCTTGACAGGAGACTTTGACGGTGTTGACGATGGGAGGGGAGGGAGAAGAAGTCAACGGGCCCGATCACTTGGATGGTGCTGGGGAGTCTGCAGGAGCTGTTGTAGCAAGTAAGTAGAAGGAAGCGAGGGAGGGGGAGAAATTCAGCAAATGCAACATGTTCGAAAGAGAAGAATGCGATCGAACAAGACAGAAGAAGGAAGAAAAATATTTCACAACAGAGGTGCAGAAGAAAAGATCAGAGAAAACAAAACAACCAAAACAGCACAACGTGCAAACTGAGCAAGAGATGTATTCTTGCTCACCGTTCAGTCCAAACGGGGCCCATGGACGAACGCCGGGAAGAATTTTCCCCTGAGACAGAGAAGATCAGTCTCAACATGTGAAGGCGCAAAAGTTGCAAAACAATGGAGACATTCGTTGTCTTCAACCCTCCTCCCCTTGTCTCGCCCACAACTTCTCCTTTTCATCCTCCCGCTTCTCCCTTGATTACTCCTGCTCCTGCTCCTGCTCCTGCTCCTGCTCCTGCTCCTGCTCCTGCTCCTGCTCCTGCTCCTGCTCCTGCTCCTGCTCCTGCTCCCCTCTCTCCTCCTCTCCCTCCTCTTCCCTCTCACCTCCTTCGCCTGCTCCTGCCTCTGCACTTGAATCGCCCTCTCCTCAGCGTCCGGCAGCCTGAGATCTCCCGCCAGCGGCGATCGCGCGTAGACTTCGAGGAGGACGAGGAGGGCGATGCAGGCCCAGGTCCCGTTCTTGATCATCCTCATCATATCTCCTGACAGACCGAAGGCAGCATCAATATCAGCCTCTTTCTCCTCCTCCTTGTCCTTCTTCCTCTTCCACTTGGGCTCGTTTACGATCGCTGCCTTGGGAATGTCCTCAATGAGCGACTCCAGGGATCGGTCTCTGATCAGCTTCTTCACGGAGACATCCGCATCCACATCCTCCACGCTCTCCGAGGAGGAGGAGGACGAGGAGTAGAGCTCAGTGGCGTCGGGAGAGGAGGGGGCAGCCTTGGTCTTCGAGGAGGACACCTTCTTTCCCTTCTTCTTCGCTTGCATGGCAACGGAGCTGCAGCTGCGGGGGTTGGGAAGGATAGAGAGAGGCTGACCATTGCGCAGGAGGAGACAGGAGGACGAAGAGCGTGAGGTAGGAGCAAGAGGGAGCTGAACAAACCCGCTGGCAGCGATGAAACTGAGGAGATGTATGTCAGCATGGATGAAAATGACCTCCTATTCTCTTTATCTTCATTTCACTTCTACTTTTTGATGTCTTATTCTCCTCTCCTCCTCCAGTCCTCTCTTCTACACCTAATTCTATCGCCTTCTCCCTTGCTACTTCCTTCATTCCCTGCCTCTACTCTCCTCTCTCCTCATCTCTCTCATCTCCTCTCCTCTCCTCTCCTCTCCTCTCCTCTCCTCTCCTCTCCCCCTCCTCACCTGCCCACAAGCATAACGTTTGCCAGGCTGTGCATGGTTTCGCCTTATATCAAGTTTGACTACAGACGTGGATATTTGACTAGAAATGCCGAAATGGTCGCCAAGCCGATCCCACAGTGCGTTCCGTCTCCCTCCTCCTCCTCCTCCTCCTCCTCCTCCTCCTCCTCCTCCTCCTCCCCTGTCCCCCTACCTCTTCCTCATCTTACAGATCCTCTCCCTTGTCCTCCTCCTTGCCATCACCCGCGGCAGACGAGAAGGGTCTCAGGCTGCCATGGCGCAAAGAAGAGGGATATATTGACTACAGGCGTGCAGTGACATCTTTTACAGGGATGCGAAGGGAGAGGGCTGGAGCGGTGAAGGGGAGAGGACAACGGACAAGATGGAGTAGGAGAAGACAGGCAGTGAGTGAGTGAGTGAGAGTAGGAGTAGGAAGAGGAGTAGGAGTAGGAGTAGGAGTAGGAGTAGGAGTAGGAGTAGGAGTAGAAGGAGGAGGAGAAATAGTTTATCTATTACAGTGCAAGTTAAGCTGGAGTTACAGAAGAACGATATTCTTCTTCCAGGTTGTCCGGTGCCTCCGTGAATCCCTGGCAGCTTCGTGAGGAGGAGGGATGAACACGCGTGGGGGAAGAGTTGTAGAGGACTGAGGAGGAGGAGGGAGGGGGAAGACAAGTGGGAGGAGAAAGAGGAAGAAGAGGAGGGAGGAGGGATCAGAGGAGGAAGGAGGGGTATGAAGAGGAGGAAGGAGGGGTATGAAGAGGAGGAAGGAGGGGTATGAAGAGGAGGAAGGAGGGGTATGAAGAGGAGGAAGGAGGGGTATGAAGAGGAGGAAGGAGGGGTATGAAGAGGAGGAAGGAGGGGTATGAAGAGGAGGAAGGGGGGTGGGAGGGTCACCTCCATGGGAGGAAGTTTCTCGCGCGAGGTTGGACGATTCATGATCGGGTTTTGCTCGAGCTCGTCCTGCAAAGAACGTGAGAAGATGATGGAGAAGAAGTAGAAGAAGAAGAAGAAGAAGAAGAAGTAGAAGAAGTAGAAGAAGTAGAAGTAGAAGTAGAAGAAGAAGAAGAAGAAGTAGAAGAAGTAGAAGTAGAAGTAGTAGAAGAAGAAGCAGAAGAAGTAGGAGTAGTAGAAGAAAACGATGATGATGTTGAGGAGAAGGAGGAGGAGGTGGTCGTGGTGGTACCAGTCGTTGTCTTAGCCTCCTGATTTCATCCCTTTGCATCTCGATCTCCTTTGCCGCCTGCGTTCAAAATTAAAACCACCCTCCACTCTTCTCCTCCCCTCCCTGTCCTCCTTCCCTGCACGTTCTGTCTCTTCTATCTCTTCTCCTTTGCTGATCTCTTCATCCCCCCCCCCCCCCCCACTTCCTTCTCCTCTCTTGAACTCTCTCCTTCCCTCCCCTCCACTCCTCACCTCTATGCTCGAGGATACAGCTCTGCTTCCTCTCCCTGAGCCCGTCGAGAACTGCGGCGTCTCCTTCCCGTTGGGAACTCCTGGCGGTCTTGGGCCCTGGGCAAAGCGTGAGGAAACAAGATGGTCGGAGGAGGCAACGAAGAGGAGAGGGAAGAAGGAAGGAGAGGAGGTGAGAAGGAGAAGTTGCGGTTGCAAAGGAAGGGAAGAAGAGGGTTTGAGCAAGGGAGGGGGGGGGGGGCAATGGAAGTAGAGAAGAAGGAGGGAGGGAGGAGGAGAAGGTGGAGGAGGAGGATAAGGATGACGATGAGGAGAAAATGATCGAGAGTTTTCACCTGCTTGAGACTTTTGATCTCACGACGGAGCTCATTGATCTCCTTGACTAGCGCGACGTTCTCCTGTTTTGCAAAATAGATCACAACCAAAGAAATAAAACAACCAAATCAAGAGAACACTCATAGGAAGAGAGGGTCAGGATGAGGCAGTGAAGAATTATGATGATGATGATGAGGAGGAGGAGGTGGTGGTGGAGATGTAGAGCAGTCAACACATCACTGCCAGCGGCGGCATGCCAGGTCCTCACATTCATAATTCTCATGCTCTCAGTCTTGTGCAAGTCCATGTCCTTGGAGAGCTTTCTCTTGAGAGAGTCGACAGTCTTCTCAAGGTACTCTCGCTGAAAGCACATCAGAACTACTCGACTTCAGCGACTTGTCCTGACCTGCCGGTTGTACTCCTTCTGAATGTCTTGATCCACTTCAGCCCCCTGTTGACAGCCATAGCGTGACGAGACGGCAGGAAGGAGTGAGGGGGAGAGGGAGAGGGAGGGAGGGGAGAGAAAGCGAGGGGGAGGGAAGGGAGAGGGAGAGGGAGGGAGGAAGGGAGATTGGAAGATGGAGAGGAGAGGGAAGGGAAGAGGGATAGAAGACCTTAGGGGCGGAGACGACATGCTTGTGATAGAGAGCTTTCACTGATTCCTTGAGCTGCTTCGGCTCGGTGATGAGCTGGACGACAGCATGGAGGTCATGGCAGAAGCGCTTAATCTGGTCCTCGAGCTCCGACATCCTGACAGCCCATCAGGTAGATGAAGAGAAAGAAGATAACGATGAGAATGAGGAGTTGTGAAGATAACATGATGATAAGCATAATACGCATGAGGATCAAGGCAAGTATGATCAGATGATGATGATGATGATGATGATGATGATGATGATGATGATGATGATGGTGAGGACGACGACGATGGTGAGGAGGAGGAGGAGGAATGCTGAGGGAATAGGGAGGGGAGGGGAGAAGGAGAGGATACGTGGAGCAGGAGGAGTAGAGAAAGAGAAGAAGATTAGCCAGAAAAATGATGGGGACCAATGTTATGGGATGGAATGTAGGAATTTTTCCTACTTTTTCCTCTGGTTCACGATCTCTTGCTGCTGTCCCTCCAACTTCAGTTTGTTGTCAGCTATGGTGAGCTCCAGATTACTGCCATACATGTCAAAAGTCAGGACAAGAACCGAGGAGCAAGAGCATGATTCAGTCAAACAAGGGAGGAGGAGGGAGGGTAGGAGTAGGAGTACAAAGCAGGGGGAGGGGGGGGGGGGGAGAGAAGGAGCGGGAGAAGGAAACAAGGAGGAGGAGGAGGAGGAGGAGACGAAGGAGGAGGAGGAGGAGGAGGAGGAAGGAGGAGGAGGAGAAGGAGGAGGAGGAGAAGGAGGAGGAGGAGGAGGAGGAGGAGGAGGAGGAGGAGGAGGAGGAGGGAGGACGACGAAAGG